GAAGAATGAGGAAAATTGAGAAAGAAGAAGTATGTGGTCATCCAATAAAAAAAAAAAAAAAATAAGATGCAAAAGTGTACAGATGCATCACATAAAGGCTAATGGCTAGAATTGGTTGAGGGACTGTGCTAAAATGTTACATTGGGGTATGGAGAAAGATGTTATTGTAGAAATTTCAATTACTCTCTTAAGCTATAACACCCTCATTCCTTGAAAAACCATGAAATTGCTATGCTTGACCCTAATTGCCTCAGATCGCCCTAACAAAGCCCTTGTGATAAGTGCCTGCATTTGTATTACCATTGGTTTCATTTGGAAACAAAGAGCAAAGTTGAATCCTGTGGCGTGAGTAGTAGCTATGAGAGAAACACTCACCCTGATACACTAGTGTGCATAGAGAGAAACACTTTCCTAGTAAGGATACATTCATAGATAGTCATTAACTTTTCTCAGCTCTTTGATCTCTTTTGAAACTTTTGTGTGCACCTTGTCATGTTCCATTGCAATAATTGTGGCTGAAAGTTCGTTTAAGGTTCATGCTTGCGAAATGAAATTACAAGTGAACCGAGAATAAGGAATTTGACATACATGCATTGCTTGTTATCTACTAGATTAATTACCTTTTGCTTGAGGACAAACAAGGTTTTAAGTTTGGGGGAATTTGTTAAGCCTAAATTATACTTGTTTTTATACAAGATTTAATGATCAATTCCTTCCATTCTTGGTACCATTACATTATAATTGTTCTCTACTTGTTTTAATTTGTGTATGCAGGTATTCAGGTAGAGAATTGAGGATAAAAAGGCCATAGGAGTGGAAAAATCAAAAGAATTAAGGAGCAAAGAAGGAAACCGCGCCGGGCGCCGTGTTAACCGCGCCGGGCGGGCATAAAATAGAGTACTCTCAGCCTTTGGAAGCCTCACGCCGGGCGCAGTGTTAACCACGCCGGGCGCAATTCAAGGCCGAGAGCACATTGAGCATTAGGGGAAGCCCGCGCCGGGCGCGAAGTGTACCGCGCCGGGCGCGATAACCCTAATCTTACTCCCCAGGGTCGTATAAATGGAAAATTTCGAGGGTTTTCTCCCTCATTCACTCAGGGGCGCCTCCAGGAGCTGCGGAAGGAATTCCCAGAGCTTGGGAACGGCCATGGTGGATCATTCCTTCGGTTATTCACTTCCTCTTCCATCTCTATTTTAGTTTTCCCCTCATTGTTTTGAGTGGTTCTATCCTTTGTATTGGGGTTTTGATGTAACCAACAAAATCTTTTGTAATCCTTTGTGTTTAATGATATATATGTGTGTTGTTTCACTCTTTGTTGTGTATGTTTCTATACCTAATGTTTGCTTTGGCTTGATCACCCTTTGCATGATTTAAGGTTTTAATGACTATTGGGAAATATTATTGAAACTAGTTCTGAACATATGCCTAGTGGAGATTGTACCTAGGGATAGGGCATGACCCATTAGTAGTCTTAAAACCCTAATCGGTAATGCGGGTGTAGGTATTGGGTACTCAAGGGATTGATATTCAATATTTTCACCTAGGCTCTTTCTCTAAGGGATTAAGTCTGAGTAAATTTATGGTTGACTGAGCAATGAATGTAACAAGAGCTCTAGGATTCAGAAGTATGTTGTTTGGTGAAGTATAATCCCCACAACCTCAAGTTTCCATTTTGCCATTTCTTACCCCATTTCCATTCTAATTCAATTATGTGTGTTTTTAACAATTCCAGTAGTTTTGTTCTTTAATTCATATTCATATAAATTGGAATTGTTCTCAAGTCACAAGTAGCCAATGAATGCTTATTTTACCTTCTAATCCCTATGGATACGATATTTTTACTACTTGTACGACCGGTACACTTGCCGTGTCTGAGTCCGTTGATGTGTACTTCAACGGAATTCTCAGCATATATCATCACTGTGCATATCATATATCATACATACATGATAAAAAACTTCAACTTAACATGCATTAGCATCATTTCATTCATAAACATATTCACGCCCGGCGCAACCGGAGCTCCCCCAACCTAATCCCAACCTGAGAGTCCTAAAACTCATCTACACCCGGCGTGTTCAACTCGCTCTCGGTGTCCTTGAGATAGAGACTCCTAAGAGTCTCCACGCCTGACGCAACCAAATCACATCTAGCCCAACATTCAACCCGAGAGCCCTAAGCTCTTCCACACCTGGCGCGCTCAACCTGCGCCCGGCCTAATCCTAGTCAAAGAGTTTCAAAACTCTCATCTAAATCAACAAATCCAACCACATGCAGACACAAAACACAAAGCATAGGCTCCATACAACTCAAAATAAACTTAAATCTACATGCATCCAACCTATGCATCTAAATCATCAAAATCCTCCTTTTTCTCAAACCCCAAAAATGAGATTTTCTTCAACCCATCTATGGATTCTCAAAATTCATGCATCAATTGAGTTTCTAAACTCACATGTAATCTAAACAACAAACATTCTAGCTTCCCTCACCTGAAAATTGACTTCAAAATAGCCAATAACTGAGAAGAAGTAGAATTCCCTTCCGAAGCGCAACCTGGAACTTCAATCCTCTCAAAGCAAGCTTTCTAGTCTAAATTTCAAGAAAAAATAGAAGACATTAGTGCTCTAGAGGAGAAAAAGAATCATACAGAGAAATTTGAGAGAGAAAAGAGCTCACAGACCCAGAGTCATTCTCTTTAAAAACTTCACTTTCTCCTCAAGTGGCAACCCCTATATATAGAAGTTCCAGAGTAACCAGAACAGCCTGTTCCAAATCCAAAACGACCCGTTTTGCACCATCGCATCACATACAAAAATCACTTGCAGAACGGTCCGTTCTGAAATCAGAACAGCCGGTTCTGGAACTCATCCAGAACGGCCTGTTCTCCCTTTGGAGAGGCCCGTTCCCAACCACGATTTACAAGTCAATTTAATAGCTTGGAGCGGCCCGTTCCAGATTAGAAATGACCCGTTCTAGGCTACTAAATCAACCATATTAAAATTTTGGTTCTTATAAAATAACTTGCTACGTTACAATATAAGTTAAATGCAACAATATAAAATTTATATTATATTATTATTTTTTTTATCACATACATTATGGCATAAAAAAAACACTTATTAAATAATATTTTAATTAAATCCTAAAAATAACTTTTGATATCATAATAAATCGATTAACTTGGATAGAAAGACAATTGTAACAAAATCAAATCAATCTGGATAAAATGTTTTGCAAAGAACTAAATTATGATATAAAGTACTATTAATTTATAAAATAATTAGTTTTGTTCTTATTAAAGATTAATTTTTATATATTAAATATGAAAAATTATCTTGTATAAGAATGTTGTTAAAAATTCTTTTTGAGCAATAATATTTTTAAAACTTCTTATAACCTTTTTTTTATCAAATTTATTTTTAATTTATCATATTTATTAATAAATTAAATTTAATATTTTTAAAAAATAATTAATAATTAAAAGCAATTTTATAACATAATGTAAATTATTTATATTAAATTTAGAATACATTTTATATGTTTAAATATGTTAATATATACAAAAAATTAGTATAATTTATATATTTAAATATAATATTTACATATAATTTATTATAATTTTTAATTATATAAAATAAATATTTAACTTATAAAATATAGATACTAAAATATTAATAACTTATAATATTTGACGAATAACTCGAATCGTAATTAATTCGATTACTACTAAAGTAGAAAATTTGTATCCGAATAAAATTAATTTCACTTTAAGAAATTTAATGTTTGATTTTGTTCTATAACAATAAGTCAATGAGGCTTTCCCTTTTTAATTGAAATTAATTAAAAATACCTGGAGTGCAAAAAGATAAGGCATATGATAAACACACCTTCACTCTCATATAAACACATCCCTTTTTAAAAAAATATACATAAAATATTTAAATTACCCTAAAAAAATGAAATTTCAAAATTTACACCCCTTACCTGTACCCCGCACCCCGCACCCCACACTCCAACTCAGGGACTGAATCTTGACGGCGGTGCAAGTTTCCTCCGCCAAGCGCCGGTCCTGTGGCGCCGTGGCAAGGCGGCTAGCGGGAGCAGCGGTGGCGGTGGCGGTGGTGAGCCTGACGACCTCGGCGGCGGCGTGTGCGGGTGAGCCTGCCGCCCTCGGCGGCGGCGTGTGCGGCAGCGAGAGCAGCCTCGACGATTGCTGCGATGGCGGCGGCGACGACGATGACATGCTTGTTGGCGTTGAAAGAGTGGGTGAAGGGAGCAGAAGAGGTGGTGAGGTTGTGGGTTGCGGTGTGTTTAGAGAAGGGCCAAGTTTTTTTGGGCTTGGGAGCGGTGGTGTGGGGGTTTGGCGGATTGCGGTGTCTTTTGGCGCTGAAGAGTTGACGGAGAAAGGCCATGAAGTGAGTTTAAGGCATTGGAAAGTGAAAGAGAGATAAGAGAAGTAGAGAACGAGTGGAATGGAAAAGTTGAAAGAAGGTGAGACTTAAAATGGAGTTTGGATTTGGAAATGTGTTTACTGTTTTATGCTACCTTACCACGCGACTCTGCTTATCACGCGCTGATGCGGGGAAGGGAGGTGCGGGGTACATGGATCGGGGAAGGGAGGTGCGGAGTATAGGAGTGCGGGGGTATAGAGGTCGGGGAAGGGAGGTGCGGGAAGGGAGGTGTAAATTTTAGAATTTCATTTTTTTTTAGAGTAATTTAGACATTTTAAATATATTTTTTTGAAAAGGGGTTGTGTTTATACGAGAGTGAAAGTGTGATTATCATGTGCCAAAAAGATAAAGTTCCTCGTACGGATTAGGAAAGCCCAGCCCAATCCGGCCCAACTCATGGTAACTGTAACCGGCAGCAGCGGCACGTTCAGCGGAGCAGTCACCGTCGTCTGTCACGCCGCTACTTGTCGTTGTCTTTGTTTGTGATACTCCTTCCCTTTTCTTCTCAATTTACATTGACTTTTGCCTCACTCATTGCCTGCTACCATGGTGTCGGTTGCTCATTCAGCCCTACTTCTTCCGAGTGTTGGTTACGGTTACCGAAGCGCCTCAGTCTCCAGATCCAGCTGGAGCCACCGTCCTCTCGCCGTCACCGTGAAATGCTCTGCTCAATCTCCTTCTCTAGGTCATTCTCCTTCTCCTACTTCGCTTTCTCTTTATTCATTCTTCACTCTCTAGTTCGTCCACCGTTATTCCATTCAGTTGCGGAGAAGTTTCTCGAAGCTTCCAAGAACGGGAACGTGATTCCTCTCCACCGATGCATATTTTCTGATCACCTCACTCCCGTCCTTGCGTACCGTTGTTTGGTTAAGGAGGACGAGAGAGATGCTCCTAGCTTTCTCTTCGAATCGGTGGAGCCAGGCCAGCTTTCTAGGATCGTGAGCGCGATTTTTTTTTTTTATTTGTTTGTGAATGAGTTATTGTGTGTACTGAGTTTGTGTTGATTTTGATTAGGGACGGTACAGTGTGGTTGGAGCACAACCGTGTATGGAGATTGTGGCGAAAGAGAACGTGGTTACTGTTATGGACCACGCGGATGGGCGCAGGAATGAGGAAATTGCTGAGGATCCGATGGCGATTCCTCGTAGGATCATGGAGAAGTGGACGCCTCAACTCATGGATGAGCTTCCCGAAGCGTTTTGTGGCATGTCAAATCCACTTCTAATCCTAATTTTGCCATTTCCTTATTGGAATTGTGTTTGTTGTGTGTATAAGCAGTTTTGTTATGCGCTTCACAATGTATGTTTTTGACTGATTGCCATTTTCTCTTTGCAGGAGGTTGGGTAGGCTATTTCTCTTATGATACAATGCGCTATGTTGAAAAGAAGAAACTTCCATTTTCTAATGCTCCAGTTGATGACAGAAACCTTCCTGATGTTCATTTGGGCCTTTATGATAATGTGATTGTGTTTGATCATGTTGAAAAGGTAAGGTTATGTTTGCCAGGTGCTGTGTAAATGTTTGTGACTATTGGACCAAGAAAGCATATGTGATTTCTGACTTTCTTCATCCCAGAAAGCTTACGTGATTCATTGGGTTCCGCTAGATCGATATTCTTCTGCTGAGGAGGCCCTCAATGATGGAATGAAGCGGCTGGAAACTCTAGTGTCTAGGGTGCATGATATAATTACGTAAGTAAACTTTTTTTTTTTTCCCATTATTTTTCCTTTTTCGCTTAACATTTCTAATCAAGGTTAAGGATCACATTGTTTGGTCGTTGAGTTTAATTTCAGTATGTACAATTATAATTGTCAATTTCAGCCCAAGGCTGCCTGCAGGTTCAATAAAGTTACACACTCATGTCTTTGGTCCAAAACTGGAGATGTCAAACATGACAAATGAGGAATATAAGAGTGCAGTGTTGCGGGCTAAAGAGCACATACTGGCTGGTGACATTTTTCAAATTGTACTGAGTCAATGTTTTGAACGGAGAACTTTTGCAGATCCATTTGAAGTCTACAGAGCATTGAGGATTGTTAATCCTAGTCCATATATGACATATTTGCAGGTTTTCCAGTTTCTCGTGTCATTATCTTTTTATTAGTTAGTTTGCATTCAATAGTTAACTTGTTGGAAAATATATTGGTATTAGGCCAGAGGGAGTATTTTGGTTGCTTCAAGTCCAGAAAATCTTACACGGGTGAAGAAGGTAACCTTGTGCAATAATGACTAAAATAATTAATTTACTTCTTCAACAATATCAATAATCTAACACATGCTTATAGTTGGCCATGTTCTTGTTTATTAGCCCTTTTTAGGTTTCTTTAATTTTACTATACTTGTTAACATTATGAACTTCATTACAAGTCTAACAAGTATTAATAGGCATTTCATATCCTTTTTGACAGAGAAAGATCACCAATAGGCCCCTTGCTGGTACTGTTAGAAGAGGAAAAACATCAAAAGAAGATATCATGTTGGAGAAAGAACTTTTGAATGATGAAAAACAATGTGCAGAGCATGTAATGCTAGTTGATTTGGGGAGAAATGATGTTGGAAAGGTATTTGGTTTTCAATTGCTGGCTTATTATCTTCTGTTTCACAGAGATTAATTAAAGACTTGCAATTTGAGGACTAAATTCGGAGGTAACCCTTTATCTAGATATGTAAACAAAAATATCATAAAGTAAGGGGAAAATAAAAGATATATTGGTTTCACACTAATAGAAACTAGGTATAACTTCTAGAAAGAGGAAGCATGTCACTTGCTAGACTCTTAAAGCATTCATTGCTGCTGAGAAACAGCACAAAAAAAGTAAAAGAGTATCCACACACGTACACCTTGGGGACATTTCAGGTGAAAAGGCTATAGGAGCACTTCCTGGCAGTTGGGATCTTACATGGATGGTCAAAGATAAGAAGTTTATTGAAAGGTCACAAGATGATTATAAAAAGTCACGTCTTTTGGTTCTAATCTTGGGTGCAAGATTAAATGATTAAGAGTTGCTCCTCACTCAAAATACACCACTCATATCACTTGATATGCCCTTTTCTACGATGATAACTTTCTTTTTAATTTTCATGAAATGTCTCTAATATAAATATGCATGATTTGCAAAATATTTATCTTTAACCCCAGGTCATGCTTGTGTAGATTAAAGGAATTCAATAGGCTTTTTAAGAATGGTTCTGATAGAACTGGACTAGAATATGAGAAAAAATGAGTAGTATTTATTGCAAAAAAAATCTCATCACTGGTATATTAATGTGATTCAGAGCAGAGAGTAATCTCCTCTCATTCACCCAAGTACCAAAGAGACCCAGTTCTCTCCCAATTTTTTTGCAAAACTCAACTAATTCTAACGAACTCCCTGGATCCCATTTTATTACTGAATCAAATAGTTATTCTGTCACCAACAGATTTGGATCCTATTCCACTACTGCCCTCTTTTCTACTCAACCTAAACCTGGGGCAACCCCAAATAGTTTCAGCTGTCATCACTCCAGACTGAGTTTGCACTCTCGCAACCCCAAAATCAGCAACCTTGACCACCTATTGAGGAACAACATGCTACTTGAGTACAAATAAAATGATAATTTTAGTGATACTTTAATTCTTCTAGAAAAACTATTGTTTTCCTCTCATATCTGTGTACATATTTTACTGAATGCTGACAAGAGTTCTGCATCACACAAATACTCATCTTGAACTTATACAAATTATAAACTACAGTGGTTCTTGTGTTTCAACTTTCAAGATGACAATCAATTTTCATTCATCAATAAATATGGGGACCAAATAGATGCAAACTAGTATATAGGAGAAAAATGGGGAGACATAAGCAAAGGCTAGTAGCCTTTAGATTCAAGCATTTGGCTCTCCTCTAAAGGGATGTAGTTGACCTTAGAAGTTAAAGTGCAGTTATAGCCATTGATTAACAACTTCATAGCTTGATAAATAAGTCCCCGAAATTTCAACCATTGATTTTTTAATCAATGACTATAACTGTTCTTTATTCACTGAAGTGTACTCATTTACTTTAAAGGAGTTAAATCCCAGATTCAAAATATAATACCTTGAATAGGTAAACTAATCTCTTTTCTTTTTGGGGTAAGAATGAAATATTAAGACTATGATAGCATCTCAGGATAATAAACTTACAAGTAGTGGACTCTATTACAAAACCAAATATACATACAGAGAGCAGCAAAACATAGACCGATAACACTGAAAATGCAACAGACAGTATCAATGTGTGCATTCATGGAATCCTCTTACTTCATTTTCATCCATCAGAAGATTGGCAGTCTTGAGGTCCCTGTGAATTATATTATTTTGGTGCAAATAGTTCATTCCCTTGGAAACATCAATTGCTACTTTTAGCAAAGATGGAAGCTTAAATACACCTCTTTGTTTGTGCAGAAAGTCATATAAGCTTCCCCTAGACATAAACTCTGATAAAGTCATAAACATGAGTACATAAGCAAAAAATTGTATTATCATGTGACTGAATATGGCACCCAGAATCATCTTAGAAATTAAAGTACTTGATAAAACATGTATAGGTTAACAGAGATATTATACAGATTCGAAAGCTAGCATAACTTACAAAAATAAACAACATAAATATAAAAGGAAGGCATGTGCACAGGGCTTCCGCCATTAAGGGTGCAGGGAGAGTCAAAATGTAGGTAGCCTCTAGGGATGACAAATAAATCCGTACCCGTGGGTAATACCCGATTTAAAGAGGTCAAAAATATTTTATACATGTATTTTTCTTATTTTATTCTTAAATATAAATTTGTAAAAAAAAAAATACAACATGGTGTAATTATATTCAACCATCGGAGTGAAAGTGGGTCTTCATAGAATAATTGTCATTGTTTATGGACCTCA